CTCCAACCGAAAGCCTGATGTAGACAAACTGTGCTAAGTGTTCATAAAATATCTCCAGCCAGGGAATGTTTGATGGAGGGATTAAGGAGCTCCTTTTAAAATGAGCAGACCTGCTTCGAACGCTTTTCCTGTGGTGTTATTGCATTCTGACATATGCCTTCTGTTTTAATCACAGATAGAAACGTGAGCTTTTTCATTCCCAAAGCGCACAGAGGTCAGAGGTCAGGCTCAGCGTACGTGAAGCTGATGGGAATTGGGCCTTGTACTTCTTCTTTATGGCACCTCTTTTAGGTTTGAAGGCTCAAAAGCAGGGAAGCCAATCGCATTTTACATAGTAGGTCACATATAACCCACCTTGATCTCAAGTGGGCTGAAGTGGTGAAACTGCCCTTTAGTCAGTGTAAAGAGATTTAACTACACATTAAGTGCCAGAGATATCTTAATATAGGAAAAGGAAGTGTCATTTCAATAGCATGTCTCAGTTTTTCCACACGATAAAGAAATGTTGCTTCAGGTAATGAAATAAATCTGTCAGCATGACTCTTATACACTGTAAGAAATAAATGTGTAAAATCACAGAAGAAGTTCTCGCTGCCCAGACTGTCCTGTAATTATAAAATAGAAAGTTTTAGTAATTTATAGTCCTAATATGTCCCTTTCTCCTTCTCCTTCTTCTTATTGTTATTATTATTGTTACTTTACTGTTGAAACATTGTAAAACAAACAAAACAGAAATTTTAACTGTAATTAAATGATGAATCTATTACTTAATTACTTTGGTACGGCATGAATGATCAGGGGTGGGGGGTGGGGGGTCTTTATTACCTGTAAAATGTCTTAAAATCCATTTAAAAGTCCAAAGTTTACACCCTCCTTAATTTTTTCTAGAGCTATCCAGTGGTCCAGCCTGGAGTCTTTGCCTGACTGATTCTGGCCCCCGGGCCTTATGTTTGATACCTATGCTCAAGAAGATAGTTTCTGCTGCGGGATCAGAGGGAACATGTTGTCTTCAGTATTAAAACTCCTGCTGTTACAGGCTCACTGAAATATCCTTAAGCAGTGTCCTTACTGTGCAGCATAATGCAGCCTGATACAGTCACATTGTGCGTCATAAAACATAAACCTAATTATGATTAGGTCGACATAATTTCATAGAAACATATAAATGAAGGCTAAAACTCACAGTCAGCATCAGTTTCACTGAACAACACCACAGTAAACTGTGCTACCACGACAATAACAATAACATCACAAATTAATTTTCCGGCAAATCAAAATCTTGCTTCACCTCCTGAACCTGTAATAACAGGTGCATGAATTAGAGTTTTGTGACCCTGCATTAAGCGTTTCACTGGAAGGCAAACTGAGGTGTAATCATGCAGGGAAGTAAGTGAAAGGACAATCGGTCAGGCTGATTATACAGCTACAATGAGGAATACGCCACGGCGATGTTTTATGACACCAAAGATTGTTCTTACAAGGATGTTTGACTTTGATGTTTCTTACAGAAAAATTCTAAAATGTGTAAAATATGAAATGTGCTGCTGATGAAAATTAAGAATGGGAATTAGTTGTGCTACAACAGGATCACAATATTTAGTGGCTATCATGATAAAGTTATTTTGTAAAATAGCAAAAAAGAGAAAGAATTTATTAAGTTGCTGCATTGTGATATTAAAGTGTGCTTATTTTATCATCATAACAGTTTTAATATTGGATTTTACTTAATATGGTGTCAGTGCAATTAATCAATCCTCTGAATCACTTTTCATTTTATTTTATTTTTTTCTACTATAAGTCAGTTCACTTTACTTTCTTTCCCCAATAGGAGTCATGAAGTTCTAATTCTGTTTAGGCAAACTGGTCATATTTGGCATAACAGTAATAAGGACACAACTGAGCAGCTAATAAAATAAATGAATAAACAGATTCACAGACAAGCGTAATCTAGAAAACAGTAAATAGTTATTTCTGAGGATTTAGGCTGATTAATTTGTTTTATGTACGCAAATATCTGTTTTTGGTCTGTTTGTATAGAGACTTTAAATTTGGGATTATCTAGTTTTAACATAAACCACGTAATACTCTGAATGCAGTGTATGTTAGTTAGTTAAACATATAACAGGTAACTGCTGTGTTTCATTAGCACATTTTAACTGTTTGTTTATGCACTTTAGCTTGTGCTTGTTACCCATCTATTTGTATGTCTTTTTAAATAGAGATTTGATTTTAATATGACTAGAATATACTTGGATAGTAAAACAACATTTCTCACATAGTTAGTATTACTGTCAAATATTGGTCATATTTTTTTCTTTGAAACTGACGAATCATGAGTAGTCCTTTGAATGTGGTTCAAATTATTATAAGGCCTAAGAATGATTGCGTTTTATTACAGCTACTACTTACACTGATGCGACTACCACTAGAGATATTTTAAATAAAATCCTTCTGAGAATTTTAAAACAGTAAACTAGGTAGAGATACAAAATTAACTGACCTAATTTTGGGTCTACAGATGTTTTAATCATTTATTTTTAAAAAAAAAACTTCTATTAATACAGTGTGTTGTGTCCCCATGACCATTAAAATGATTTTATTTTATCATTTTATCCATAGAAAATTAAGTAAAAACTAAACTTAACTTAATATAACTGTACAAATAAGTGTTCTCAGACAAGATGCCCACGGGGACTTTACTACACAATTGTATTAAATTATTAATTTTAATTTTGCTAATCCTGCCGGTCAGCCAATACTTTCCCGCCACTTTGTGTAATTTTGCCAATGGCGCCATCTTGCGGATTACAAAGTAAATGACGCTTTATGCGAGCGACTCCCCTACGTCATAAGTATGCGCCAGTCTCTCTAATCTCGACAACGTGAAGAAAACGTGGGAGTCAGTTTTCCTTCTGACAGGTAGTTTCTTCTTTTTGAGGTCCTCGCGTCACTTAAACCGACGTTTGAGAGTCACAGTGTCATTTTCAAGCTTACTGGGAGCTGCAGAGCGCGAGGCCGTTCAAAAGTCACGTGAACCGAGCTTTTTTTGCGGGTGTTTTGCTAGCAGCATGGATAACTCCGAGGAAAGTGCCATTGAGCTCCACGGAGATGAGGAAATTATTGAAGTCATCGACCTGAACGACACGGAGCCTGGCCCAGGTGGGTCTCGGCAGCACCTGTCCCGTCTCCTCTCCCGTGACAGGCGGGACAAGAGCCGAGATAGATCAGGTGACCGTCGTGTGCTGTGCTTTTTCTCTCGTAGATGATTTGGCTGATGACTTGGAGGACGTCGACTTCGATGACGCTGGAAACGCAGGTGA